GCCGCTCCCGGCCCCGCCCGCGCTGCTCCGGCCCGGGAGAAGGGGGCCAGGGAAAGGCCCTGCCGGGCGGGTCAGGCTGTCTGCCGGGCGAGGCCGGCGTGCCAGGAAGCCGCTGGGCTTTCACAAAGACGCGGACACGCCTCAAGTTTCTAGAGGCTTTATTTTGACATACACGACCTCAGATACAAGCGGGTGGGCAGCGCTAGGTGTACAGAAAGGGGCGGGACCGCCCGACCACCCCCTCCCTCACACGCAAGGTCCCAAGAAAACGCAACTAGGCCTAGATGGGGCTGGAGCCACGGGCAGTATCCGGGCGCAAGCCTCGGGCGGTGTGGACAGACTTAGCTTCCAGGAAAAGAGGGGCAGAGAGCTATTCCCAGAAGGCGAGGTCTTACAGTTCCCCAAGAAGCAAAAGAACCAGGTCCTTCCTGGGGTTCTCCATGTTTTTCATTAAAATGTTTTTTAAATCGACACAAACATAACCAAATTGTACAGCTTTTAAAGTTCAAAAGCAATCTGCATCTAGGGAACGTGCACGTGGCCAGGTGTGAGCGAATGAGCAGCGACTACTGAACTAGCCCAGCCTCCTGGCCCGTTGGTGGGAACCCCCACGCCCACTGCACAGGCCCACAGAGGCAGGGCTGGGGTCCCTGGCAAGTTGCTACACTGGTCCCCTTCCTCTTTAAGCACCGCCCCTCCCACCCCATTCCCTGGGGGCTGGTGTCGGCTTGGCCCAGGGAAACATTACAGAGAGGGGTCTCTTGAGCGCCCCAACCCATGATCCCACGTTGCACTTTGGTCCCAAGTTGGGGCTGGGAAGGAGGGCCTGACAGGGGCAGGGCTGTCAGGAAAAAAGAACAGTGGCAGAAAGGGCGCACACTCCTGTACTCTTGCCCAGCGGCCGTCAGCCAAGACTGGGTCTCCAGGTGTCGAAGTGCTGAAAACAGGGGCCCTGTCCTGGGCAAGCAGCAGATCCCAGGCCCTTCCACTGTTCAGTGACAGTAAAATACTGAATGTAAGTGGGTACAGACACCCCAGCTATGAAGAGCAGCCGAACAGGGCAGCATCTGCTCCCAGAATCTAGGCACTAGGGTGCCACAGCACATCCCCAGGAGGTTCTAAGGGGCCCCAGGCCCTTCGTCTCCTCCACCCTGCCAGGGAACGACTACACTAACCAAGAGCTGCTGCCCCTATGGCTGAAGCCACAGAATGAGACAGGAGAGATGGTCACTACCGACACACAGGCCAGCTGCCCCTCCCAGCCCCACGGGGTGGGAACCTGCCCACCCCTGGCACCTGCGTCAGAAGCTGAGATGGGACCCATCAAGGAGCCCGTGTAAGAGGCGGCAACTCCGAAGATTGGGCAATCAGTCCATCAGTTACCAAAGCCTCTCACAGATACGCCTGGCAGGCTTTACTTTTAATGCCCAAACAGGGACATGCCAAAAGTGACAATGACAGTGGCCCTAGGCTTGGAGGAGAGGGTGCCAACCTCAGCAATGGTTGGATGCAGTGCCATGTATCAGCCACCTGTGTTAAAGGCAGCAGGTCTCTGTGCCACTAAGAGCCGGCAGCAAAAATGACAAGCCTTGGCAGAGGGAGGGTCAGTGCAGAGGGGCCACACCCCAGGCCCACGGAAAGGGTGCTGGGCCAGCGGGGAAACACCAGCTCCAATCCGTCCTGCTTCCAGGCCTTTATAAAAAGGCAGCACCTGCTGAGGAAGGGCACAGGGGGCAAAAGCTCACCTCAGAAACGGGAGGTGGTATTAGGCCAAGGCGATCGAGACGGACGAATGAGCACGGGAATACCCCAGGGGAAGAGCCCGGGAGAACGGTGGGCAGTGGGCAAACGGACAAGCAGACAGACCCCAGGACTGATTAGACAAGGCTCTCATTAGTGGAATCGGGGCCACTGCACCCAGGGCCCATGTGCCTATGAGCAGAGCAGCTTTCAATTCACCCTCCAGGCCCAGGCCCTGGAGCATCTCACAGCGGGCCGGGCTGCTGCCTTGCGCTGGGCCTGGGGAAACAAGACCGTGAGCAGACCAGGCCTGCAGTCCTGAAGGGGCAGCGCGTCCCGGGGCAGCGCAGCTGCCTACACACGGGAGGAGGCCTCCCACCACAGCACAAGAGCTGCAAACACTGTCTGGGCCAGAGCCAGCCAATGCCCTGAGGCCGGCCGGGCCGCCGACTCCTCAGCAGAGCTGTACCCCTTCAGCAGGGCAGGAGAGGGTGGCCTTCTTAAGCAATGGATCTTGATGAGAGAGGCTGGCTGGCTGTGGAGGTGGGCAGAGGAGGTGCCAATGGGTGGCCGGGGAGTTCAGGGCCTGCCATCTGCCATGAGCTGTTTCTGCCCAGCTTCCTGAATCCAGCCCCAGGCCGAGGTCGGAACTGAGGAAGAAGGCCCAGCTCCGGGAGTCAGCCCTGTAGTGCCCTGGGGGCTTCAGTTAAACAGCTGCCTAACACCCAAGACAGGAACACCCCCCATAGATGGGCACCTACCTCAGAGGAACAAGGAGTAACTGGGCATGTAGGTGCCCCGTGCCAGGCCAGGGCTTCACCCTACAGTCAGCAGGGCCCTTCAGCCACAGACCCCAAAGACCCAGGCAAGAGAAACCAATGTCCAAGGGCACTCTGTCCTGCTACCAGGCCCACCAGGGGCGCCTCTTCCTTCCTAAGCCGGCTGGACACAGCAGGCAGAGCCGCAGAGCTACGGAGCCTGCCTGAAAGGACACGTGTGCTGCCCTCCTCCGCTTTATATATATGGATTCCAGGCTACAGCTAAAAACATTTCTTTTAGTTTACACCAAAGAGAAATATAACCCTTTAAAAGCAAGTCTGTGTGTCCTCACAGCGAGGCCCGAGCAATGGTCCCTGCCTGCGGGTGGAGAGGAGGGGTTCTGGGGCCCAGAACGGGGCCTACTGGTTCTCGTCCCGCATCTGCTCCATGATGCTGATGAGGCTCTCCAGGCCAAACACGTAGCCTCTGTCCGGCCCGTCATGCACGGTGGGGTCATCCCGGAAGCCCTTGAACGTGCTGTGTGCAAAGTCAATCATGCGGACGTCCACCTTGGGTGGAGGGGCAGGGCCCACCTCAGGGCTGGTGCTGCTGGGGCTGGGGCTGGGGCCACATGGGGAGGCCACCTCAGGGAGCCCCATGTCCAGGTGCTTGAGACGCATCTCAGACCGGCGGTCCAGGCAGGACTCGGCCCGGCACTCCTTGCCGTCATAGATGACTAGCAGGGAGCTGGAGTAGAAGCGGTAGGAAGCCTGCCGTTCCAGCACGGCCTTCAGGCCCCGCAGTTTGCTCAGGATAGGCTCAAAGAGGTCTCGCCGCAGGTCCAGGCCGTTGTGCAGGTACTGGTAGAGAGCATTGCGGAAGCCCTCGATGGAGAGCCCTCGGCCGTAGTACTTGTTCCTGCACAGGTAGTGCCCTGTGTCCAGCTGGTACACCTGCAGCCCGGGAGACAGATGGGGTGAGCACAGGGAGGCCTGATGGTCTCCAGAGCCCCGGGCGAGCACTATCTGCGAGGCACCCTGACCAACCTGAACGTTTCTGCTCAACCTCTGAGTGGGGCAGGGAGGCCACGGTGACCCTAATTTTCCCAGTACCAGGCCTACGAGTCCCCTTTGGAGCCCTGTTCCAAGCTGCCCTGGGGCCCCATGGGACTTAACCAGGAACATCTTGTGGACAGACATGGTTCTTCCTCACCCTGTCGAGGCTGCAGGTTCTGGAGCCCAGATCAAGGTCAACAGGTAAGGGTAGGCTCGGGGACAACAGAGGGGTGTACTCAGCCCCCTGTGGGGGACGCACCCTCTCAAAGAGCACAGGCCACTGTGGGCCGAGGACTCGGCACGGGTGGGAGGCAAACCTGGGCACCACCCAGAACACACAGGAGCGGCAGCAAGGCTCCCGCCAGGGTGACTCACCTGCATGCCACAGACCCTGACGCCCAGCGTGGCAGACGTGCTCTGCTCGCACTTCTTCATCTGCCGGGCGGCCTTCTCAGCCGACGCGTCATCGCCATGCTGCCGGGTGCCCATCTTCAGGTCCAGCACACAGGGGTACCTGAAGTGGTGCACCACATTCTCCAGCAGGAGGAACTCTGGGCCACATCAAGGAGGACGACAGGCACACTCACTCGGCCCCGCTTGGAGGACACGACCAGGTTTCTATAAAAGGGGCCTTCTCATCTAACGTAGACTACATTCACCTCGCACTTTCAGACTGCGTGTGCGTGTGTGCAAAGAGGCACATGTGTTCACCAGAGAAAGGCTGAGACAGAGAGGGAGACAAAAAAGCTCCCCTCATGGGGAAGGGTCCTGCCACAAGCCCGTCTCCTCCATCTCTCCCTCCTGCCAAGGACTGGAACCATGCAGGCAGCTACATGGACTCCGGCTGCCTGGCTGCCTGTAATCACCGGGCCGCAGAGCCAGCCCTCACCTCTCACACTCTTACATCCGGGGGCTTCACACCACTGGCTTACTATTTCTCAGCAGAACCTTTCCTTTGTGGTAGAAGCCACACCAGATAGAACGTCCCGTTTCAAACAGAAGTGCACGGCTCAGTGGGGGCACGTCCACAGCACGGTGCTCCACCATCGCGGCTCTCCGCCTGTGCCACCTCTTCACCTTCCCAACTCAGCTTGCACGCCCACGTGGTTGACTGCAGTTCGAGTCTCGAACCCGGGACCTTCAAACTCACGCCTGGTGCATGTATGCGTGCCCAAAATCCTGAGAGAAGAACGGAGGTGAAGGAATTGCAGCATGGCCATCCCCCTCAAGGGGTGATCTCTCACTTTCTCTCTTACTCTTCCTGTCTCTCCGGTGAGTGCACATGCTCTATGCCAAAAAAGTAAAAAAAGAAATTGACGAAAGTGAAAGAATGAAGAGGAAAAGGAGTCTCCGCAAAGAGAGAGGAAATGAGAGGGTGGCCTAGTGGTTAATCAAGGGAGCCAGGTTCCATACGGCTGTCCCAGAGCCGGTGGCTTAAGAAACACCAGGCATGTGTGCCCAAAACCCAAAAAGAGAATGGACTGTAGCGTGACCATGCCCCATTGGGAGGTGTTTTCTCCTTTTCCACAGAGAGAACCTCGACCCTGACCCGGGTGGTGCTGGCGCGGCCCGCCCGCGGCCGCCGCGTGCGCAACTGAAGCAGGCACAAGGATACTGTAGAGCTTGCGGTCCTTGGACTCGGAGCGCATGCGGCTCAGCTGCTGCTTGTGGCAGCGCAGGCTCCAGGGGTTGTGGCTGATCTTCTCGGAGCTCAGGCCGCTGTTGCCGTCCAGCATCTGGAAGGGGACGTCGGAGTGGCCATGCGGCTCCACCTTGTGCAGCTCCACCTTCGAGCTCTTGGCCTCCTGGGAGCTAAGAGGGAAGAACGCACACACCAGTGAGTGGCTTGGGGACCTCACTACACAGGGCGGGAGAGGCCAGCGTCAGGCTGATCCACCCACAGACCTGCTGGGGCCAATAAGAGTAAGTGGTGTGAGACGCGTTCTGCCCGTGTTTCTGAAAACTCCCTCGTGTCAGCTTATACGAGGGGAGCACTACCTCACCCCCTCAGGATGCCCATCAGTGAGAGAGGACTGGGCGAGTGCTGCTCGAGATACAGGAAACTGGAGCCTCTGGGCATCCCTAGTGGGAAGGTGAGATGGTACCGCCACAGTGAAAGGTGACACGGAGGGCTGGCTCCCTGGCCTGGTGGCTAAAGGAGCCAGATCCCACACGGTCACCTGCACAGCTGGAGTTCCAGCCCTGACAGCCTGAAAAGTACACTGGGCGCATGTGCATGTGTGCCCCAAATCCCAGCAAGATGGAGAAATGGAGAAGGGATAGTGGCATGACCACACCACACTGGGGGGTGCTCTCCTTCATCCTCTCCCTTCCTTCCAGGCACACATGCCCTCTATTAAAAAAAATCCAATTATGGGACCAGCAATTAGCGTAATGGCTATGTTGCTGAACTCCCATGTAGTCGACCACGGTTCAAGTCCCGGACCCGGTGGCTTAAACTCACACCAGGCGCGTGTGCGTGTGTGCCCAAGATCCCAAGAGAAGAATGGAAGAGAAGGGATTGTGGTGTGGCCATCCCCCCTGGGGGGTGATTTCCTCTCTCTCGCTCTCTCTCTGTCTCTGTCTGTCCGGTGAGCGTGTGCACCCTTATAACAAAAACCTCTCCAAAAAAAAAAAAAATCTAATTATGACTCAGTAATTCCATTCCTAGGTATATACACAAAAGACTTACTTAAAAACAGATCAAACAGGTACTTTATGCCAATACTCATAGCAGCATAACTCATACTGAAAGGTGGGAACAAACCAAGTGTGTATTAACAGATGAAGAGATAAACAGAATGTGGGATGTGTATATACACAAGGCACATCAAAACGTTGGTTGAAAAATCCAGCTAAAGTAAGAGTTTAAAGCCAGCAGGTGGCATGGCGATTAAGGCAGATAAATCCCATATAGCCAACTGCACAGTTCTAGTCCTGGACCCAGAAGCTTGAAAAACATGCCAAGCACATGTATGCATGTGCCCAAAATCCCAAGAGGAAAATGGAGAAGGGACTGCAGCACGGCCATCCCCCCGGGGGTGCCTTCACACACACACCCCCCTCTCAGGCAAGCACACATGACCTACAAGTTAAAAAGGAGAAAAAATTACGTAATGAAGATGGAGTTTCCCACTAAATACAGGGAGAGGCATGGGATGGCACTGGCAAGGACGTAGTAACTGTCCCATCTCTGCTTACAAGCCTAGAATAGCTCCCTCTCATGGGATTTAAAGAAAGCACATGCTGGGATCAGCAGATGGCGTAATGGCTATGTTGCTGGACTCCCATGTAGTCGACCACAGTTCACGTCCCGTACCTGGTGGCTTAAACTCACGCCGGGCACATATGCGTGCGTGCCCAAGATCCCGAGAGGAGAATGGAGAAGAGAGTGTGGCGTGGCCATCCCCCCTGGGGGGGTGATTTCTCGCTTTCTGTCTCCCTGTCTCTGTGCCCTGTCGCAAAAACCTCTCCAAAAAAAAAAAAAAAGCATATGCTGACATCATGTTCACGAACATCTGTCTTTGTATCAGGCCTGGAAGGAGGGGGCACACACCAAAGAAAGCATGCAGAACAGGGTCTATCCTGAACAGAACAGGCCCGAAGGCATCTGTGTTTTTCTGGACAGGTTTCAGCCTGTGAAAGGCACAAAGCCATCTGAGTAAGGGAGTTTTATTTCTGAAATAAGTCAAACCACAAAAGGATTTTGGTTAAGAAAATATTGGAACTCTGCCACAATTTCATCATGCCCCAACAAAAAACCTTTGAAACAACTAGCAACAGTTTATCATACTATAAGCCAAGAAGACCGACCTCTGGACGCAATGTGCCCTGGAAACTGGGGAACTGTCCACAGCTCAGAGCAGAAGCACTGCGGCACGGCCTCTCTGCTCTCAGAACCACTGGCTTCTCTTGGGTCCGGCAGGGGTGTGGTGGTTAGAGCAGCTGGACTCCCTGGAGTCTCAGACCTGGCAGCTTTCTCACTTTCCCTCTTTCTCTCTCTGGTCAAGTTAAAAAAATAATAATAAAATAAAGCGACCGCCAGGTGGTGTGGTGGCTGGGGTTGCTGGACCTCCACATGGTCAACCGCAGTTCGAATCCTGAACCTGGCGGCTTGCTTTCTCACTCCCCTCCCCCACTCTGCCCCCTCTGGTCAAATTAAAAACAAATAAATAAATAAAGTTAAATAGAATATTACTTTTAAAAATTAATGACAATAAATAAAGAAAATAATAATAATATAAAAAGAACCACTGGCCTTCTCACCGACTGCGGAACAAGCTGCACAGGAATGAGCCAACCAGCAGGGCTAGTGTGTGCCAGGAATGCTGGCCACCCCGAGGCCGGGGGCAAGCTGTGTGACACTGGCTAAGGGGCGCTGGCTGAGGCCTCACTTCCCTTCACCTGGAAGCACAGGAGCCCTCCAGCACCTCTGAGCTCCTGGCGGGACACTGCCGAGGTCATTCCCTTCTGGTGACCCCTTCAGAAACAGCAAGGTTGACTCATTTGCCAGAGAAAGCCTAACGAGATGGGATCCTATGGTGCTTGGGGTCACCTTGGTGGTGTGGGCCTGCCCCTGGGAAGGAGTAATGACCTCCGCGTGGAGTCAGAGTTTCTGCTCACAGGCCAGGCCGTCTGGCTGCTGCAGGCACAGCGGGCGCCCTCACAGCAGGAGCTTCCCGTCACTGTGCCCACTGGCTTTTCACCAGGCGACTCACAAGGCAGCTTCTGAACCTTTGGAGGACAAAAATGAGCCCACTCTCAAGAAATGCTGGTGTGGAGGTCAAGGCGCTGGATCCCACATGGCCAACTCCGTGGTCTGAATCCCAGACCCGGAGGCTTGAGAATCATACCAGGCACGTGTGTGTGTGCGTGCCCAAAATCCCGAGAGGAGGATAGAGGAGAAGGATCTGTAGCATGGCCTTCCCCCAGGGAGTGACTTCTCCCTCTCCCTCTCTTTGTCTCTCTGTTTCCCTCTGGCAAACACATGCCCTACAGTGGAGTTCGTTTACATGAAGTAGCAAGAAACGTAACTCCTTCAAAAGACGATTTTCCTGGTGCACAACTCTCCATTTCCAGTACGATGAACTGAATTTAGATCAGGAAGAGGGTTAATAACTGATGTCAGATTCTCAGAGGTCTGACACAAAGCCATTAGGGAGCGGTGGTGTGGACGGCCTGTGGCAGGCCAGGGCATCTGGAGCCCGTGTGGTCAGTGCACTTGGACCTGTCTTGGATGCGAGGTGTAACAGAAGGCTGCAGTCACCAGAACAGGGCATCCCTGCCTCGGAGGGCTGAGAGCGCCTCACCTTCTATGATCCAGGCGCACACACACCCAGGATTGCTGCGTCACACGGTGCGGGTGGTTCCAGACACCAGTCATCCTCCCCACCCTGAGCCCTGCTTCCCTGCACAGGTCCTGAGCGTGGGACGGGGCACGCCGCTGCAGCTCTGCTCACCCCCTTACCTCTCAGAGGTGTCTAGGGACAGGCTGGCTTTCTCCTCCTTGTGGTCACTGCCGCTGCCTGACCGGTGCAGGCTCCGGCGGGAGTGTTTGCGCCGCGGCTGCTCCCGTTCTGGCGTGTCGTCTGGCTCCACAGTCTCACTTTCCACATAAGGGTAGGCCACCAAGTTGATGTAACCATCGCTGTCCCCCTCAAAACATACAGATACCACGCCTGTTGTAAAAAGGGCAGCCAGTCAGCATATGACAACACGGGCTGGGTCCACACGGCACCTGCTTTCCACAGCACGCAGACCTCACCTGCCAACCCACCTGCAGACCAGGGCAGGCACAAGTGCCAGCAGGCATGCTCTTTACAGAAGAGAGACGATCGCCACCCCCACGCCGAGTCAGCTGCCTGCCTCGGATCGTAGGTGTGTCTCTGCTTATCCCTCACTTCCGACCCAGCCCCCCACCTTCAACTGCTGATTTCTGTACCACTCACGAGTACCATGTGCTCTCAGTGACAGCCACACCGGACATAATTTAACCCCCTACTTACCTGCTTTTAGTTTTTTAATTGCCAGAGGGTCCATGCACTCACCAAAGAGAGACAGTGAGACTGTGAGAGGAAGGACGGGAGACAGAGAAAGCACCCACAATGGTGCATGGCCAAGCCGCAATCCCTTCTCCTCCATGGGGCCAACTTATACTGGGGACACCTGCACAGACGCCCAGCATGTTTCTCAAGCCACAGAGGTGGGGACTGGAGCTGTGGTCAGCCAGGTGGGATCTGGCTTCCCTGACCACTGGGCTTACAGGCCCGCACTATGCACCTACTTCATCATACTGACATCTCCCTTCTGTGCCCTCCTTCAGAGCTGGTCCCTTTAGCCTGACAGTATCGCCTGGAGACCGCAGGTACCTCTACATCCGGAAGTGTCTTTCTGCACCAGCATCAGACTGCCCTACCCCAGCGCATACAACTTCTGCCTCTACCACCTCTAGGGTGAAAGGGCTGATTCCCATGCTGTACATGAAAAGCATATCAAACAGGTTTTCACAGCTTCTTCTAGATCATTACCATAGGAATTAAAGCAAAAACAATGCCCAGAAACCTAAATCAAGGAGGTCTGAAAGCAAAAGCTCTCAGCTGCCCTTTGTCTAACTTCCGCATCCCAACTTCTGTCAGTTCCAGTCCTAGAGTGTACATAAGAGGCGCCGTAACCTTAAACTACTGGGAGCATCTGCAGGCTCTGTCAATATGCCGACATCGGAACCGTGCTCCCTTTGGCACATTTCTCTAGGTAGACGATGCCCTAATCCGTGGGGCCTTTAAGAAGAAAAAAACCTTCCACAGCAAGGTGAAATGAATTCTTTCTTACAATCCCATTTCTTTACTTAAACTCATGTGCCTTACCTCAGAGGGTTTCACAAATGTATTCTGGCTTTCATTTTTGTATTTTTAAATTTTCTTTCTTAAAATAATTATTTACTTAATTCCACTTGTCATCATTACTATTTTAAAATTTGACCAGAGAGAAAGGGAAAGCAAGCCACCAAGTCTAGGACTTGAACTGTGGTTGGCCATGCGGGAATCCAGTGCCTCAACCACCATGCCATCTGCTGGCCTCGTTTTTGTGATTTTTTAAATTCTAGAAGGTATGTGTACTGGTCAGAGAGACAGAGACAGTGAGAGAAGGTACCCCCCAGAGGGGTGCAGTCATATTGTAATCCCCTTCTCTACCTCTTCATCCCGTCAGGATTCTGGGTATGCCTAGCACAGTCCCCAGATCCCTGGGGTCAGGATCTGAACCGCGGTCAGTCATGTGGTATCCAGTTCCCCCAACCACTAGGTTGAGAACTGGCCCTGTACCCTGAGAAATTTTTTCTTTTGTTTTAAATATTTATTTCTTTATTTATTTAAGTCCATTTGTTATTTTTTCATTTGACGAGAGAGAGAGAGAGAGAAAGGGAAAGTGAGAAAGGAAGCTGCCAGGTCTGGGACTCAAACCGTGGTTGGCCATGTGAGAACTCAGTGCCTTTAACCACCATGCCACTGCTGGCTCCTGGAGCTTTCTTACACAGATGTCTTTCTCTACTGAATACTGCCGTCACACATTCCTTTTTTAAAATGGTGTCTTTCTGGCGCGCGCATGCGCCCTATAAAAACCTCTCCGAAAAAATAAATGAAATGACATTTTCCACATGATAGAGAACATGTGCAAGTGACAGAGACAGAGAGAAAGAAAGAGGAGGGAGATGCACCCTCGATGGGTCTCGTCACACGGCGATCCCCTCCCCTCAGTCCTTCAGCTTGTCAGGATCTTCACCACGCACAGGATGTACCCAATGCCTTTTCAAGGCGACCCAGGGACCCGAACCAGTAGCCAGCCATGTGGCTTCCAGTACTGCAGTTCAGCGTGCTACTGATGGAGCCATCTGGCTGGGTCTGCATATTTCTCTTTTCTTTACCAATTTTGTCCATTCTGTGATCTTGTCCCCGCCCCCCCCGTTCTGATCTAGAAACTCTCTAGGCCTGACATCCAGCCATTTGGGCTTGGCCATGCTGCAGCTTGAGCAGGGTAAGACCCATTCCTTCAATGAGTACCTTTTCTCCCCCTCCGAATACTCTGTGTTTAGCTAGAATACGACTTCAAGTACTTTCCTAAGAAATCGTGCTAATGGGGACCAGCATGTGGCGTGGTGGTTAAGGCGATGGACACTCCCACAAGGCTGACCGCAGTTTGAGTCCTGGACCTGGTGGCTTGCTTTCTCACCCTTTCTCTCTCTTTGATCTAATTAAAAATAAATAAATAAAATAATAGTAATAATAAAAGGAGTTAAATAAATTGATAATGTTTTGAGAAAAGAAACGGTGCTGATGGACTGGACCCAAGGCACCACAGTTAAGTGCTGCACAGAGGAGACCGAGTCCCATACAGCTGGTCAGGGTTCAGGCCCTGGACCCGTGTGCATGCCGAGGGTCCTGGCAGGATGGAGAATCAAAGGGAAAGGGCTATGACAGGAGCAGATCCTACTAGGGTGCTTTCTCTCTCTCTCTCTCTGGCACAAGTATGTACCTCTGGTACTGGGAGGGAAAAAAGAGAAGAAAGAGTGAAATCAATTTCCTGAGTTCTCTGCTTGGCTGACACTTTGGCTGAAGACAATCTGCCCCGTCTGCACACACCCTCTACTCTTCTTTCTCACCTGGAGGCCTTCCACTTCATTCTCTCATCTACCTGTACCTGCCGGCCAGCCAGCAACATGCTGCCTTGAAGCAGAAAGCACAGACCACCTCACTCCTTGATCTGAAGGGAAAAGCAATCATGTCAGCATTAAAGGATACCAGCTATGTCAAGAATGAATGCTGAGAGGCCAGGCAGTTGGCACAGTGGTAACACACGTGGGTCCACACGGGAAGGTCCTGGGTTCCCACCCCAGAACCTCCCTGAGCACCTCAGGCTGACTGAGAGTGGGGTAGATCATGACTTGAAGAACCTGTTAAGGATGTCTGTCTGTTTTTCTCTCTCTGGTATAAGAAATAAACTCTAAAGACTAAAACAAGGGCCAGACCCATGGCCTAGTAATTAAGGGAGCTGGACTCCACATGGCCTATTGTAATTCGAGTCTTCACTTTTGCAAATTAAAAATGCTGGACATTAGTGAATGTGTTGCCTGAAATGAGGGAGAAATGGAAGAAAGGGTCTCAGCATGACCACCCCCATGGGGGATAAGTCTCACTTTTCCCTCTCTTAAATTAAAAAAAAAAAAGTTAAAAAAGATCTTAGCAAAACGCAGGGCCAGATGGTGGCGCAGAGGTAAAACATGGTGTTATGTGAGGCAATTCCATGTGGGAAGGTCCCTGTCCAAGTCCAGGGATCCACTTAACACACTGGGCACACAAGTGCCCGTGACCCAGGGCTGGCTGACGGCTGGGGTTGAACTGCAGCATTAGGACCCTGCTGGGAGTGCCTGCGCTCTCCTCCCAGCCCTCCCTCGCCTCCTCCTGTCTGTCTCTTCCTTGTGGAAGAAACAATAAATACAACTTATTTTTGGAGAGGTTTTTGCTATAAGGCATGTGCGTTTGCCAGAAAGACAGAGAGAGAGAGAGACAGAAAGTGAGAGAAATTACCACCCGGGGGGATGGCCACGCCGCAATCCCTTTTCCTCCATTCTCCTCTCGGGATCTCGAGCACGCATGCACATGCGCCCAGCATGAGTTTAAGCCACCGGGTCCGGGACTGGAACTGTGGTGGATTACATGGGAGTCCAGCGACATAGCCATTATGCCATCTGCTGGTCCCATCTCTCTGGCCAAATTTAAATAAATAAATAAATAAATAAAGTTAAATAAAATAATTCTTTTTTAAAAAAGTAAAATAAAAATAAGCAAAACAAAAAATGTAACTTACAATCATAAAAAATGTATAAACACAGTAACAAATAGCAGATTTTAAAATAAAATGACTTAATTACAGTATAATATTCATAGGGCTCTTTTCTATAAAGTTAACTTTTATTTTACTTTACTTTTTTTGAAGCTCAAATACATCTTTGTTAATCAAAACAGGGACCATTGTAATCAACACATTTTTCCAACGAGAAATAAGTTCGTTTATTCCTGCAGCATAAAAATCTGTGCTTCAGGATTCAGTGAACTCAGAAATCTTAAGCATCCTGCTGCCTGTAGAAGTGTTTTCCCTGCAAAAAGTTGTTGAGATGCTTAAAGAAGCGGTACTTGGAAGGCAAGAGGTCAGTGAATACGGAAGATGAGGCAACTTCGCACTCCGATCTGTTCAGCGTGGAAGCGGCTGTACGAAGTGCGGCTGGGCAGTACTGCAGGGCAGCAGCGGGCCCTTTCTGCTGACCGGTGCCGACTGCAGGCGCTGCCCTCTGCGGGGCATCTCGTCAGGCTGCTGAGCATACTTCTCAGTGTGACGGTTTTGCCGGGATTCAGAAAGCTGTACTGGACCAGACCCCACCAAATAGTGAAAACAACCCCTTTTTGGTGCAAGTTTGGCTTTGGCAAGGGCTTTGGAGCTTATTCTTGGTCCAGTCACTGAGCTGCTTGTCATATAAAATCAACTTTTTGTCACACGCCACGATCTGATCAAGAAATGGTTCACTGTTGCTGTGTAGAGTAAGAAAAGGCGACACTTCAAAATGATATTTTTTTAAAAATTTCAGTCAGCTCATGAAGCACCCACTTACGTCCCTTTCCAACTTGCTTGAAATGCCAAGAAACCATAGAATAGTGGACACCGAGCTGACCGGCAACTTCTCGCGTAGCTGTTGAGAGGGTCAGCTGACGGGTGCCCCCAGTTGGTCACTGTCGACTTCCGCTGGCCGGCCACTACGCTCATCTTCAAGGCTCGCTCCTTTGCAAAACCTGAGCCCCCGCTGCACTGTACGTCCGTTAGCAGTTCCTGGGCCAAATACACTGCTGACGTGAGTTGTCTCCACTGCTTCGTGACCCGTTTTGAACTTGAATATGAAAATCACTCAAAGTTGTTTTCTGTCTCACATCATTTCCATAGTCTACAGTACATATAAAATAAGCAGCAAGCGGGCCAGCGGGCGGCTTAACAGTTAAGCTGCTGGCCAACTGTGGTTCAAGTCCTGAAAACCATGACGGGCCTATGTGCACATGTGCGTGACCAAAATCCCAAGAGAACAGAGGAGAAGAGACTGTAGGGTGGCCACCCTGCCGGGAGGGTGATTTCTCACTTTCCCTCTGTCTGTCTCTCTCCAGCAAACCCATACGCCCTATCGCAAAAACCTAAGTAAAAACTGAGCTCTCTAGCAAAGCATGTTCATTGTCTTCTCAGGAAATTATATATGGACACTGCAGACGCTTATGTTTCAGGGAGAGACACGTGAGCAGGGCCACAGACAGATGTGCCAGTGTAGGCCGGAGAGTGGCTTCAGTCCTGCATGACTGGAAGTTGAGGACAGTTTGGCGTGGCGTGTGTAGCTGTCCTCCCATCATCTTCCGCAGTTAAAATAGTAGTGAATTCCGCCCTGCTCTAACTAGGGTCCTGTGCTGAGCATGAAGGTTCTGCAGGCATTAGGACCAGCAAATGGCATCATGGTTATGTCGCTGGACTCCATGTAATTGACCATGGTTACAATCCCAGAGCTGATGGTTTAAACTCACACCAGGTGTGTGTGCGTGCGTGCCTAAGATCCCAAGAGGAGAATGGAGGAGAAGGGATTGCAACGTAACCATCCCCCCCAGGGGGTGATTTCTCACTTTCTCTCTCTCTGTCTCTCTCTTTCTGGAGAGCACATGCATCCTATAGCACAAACCTGTATAAAAAAAAAAAAAAGGTTCTTCAGGCATCAAGGGGCAAAGCCTCTTTCTGTTCTCCAGAGACTGTAATCTCCAGAGAGCCAAACTTTGATGAAAGGCTTGTCCAAGAGGAAGGCTTTATTACAGATGACATCACTTGGAAGACAGGTTTGCTCAAAAGCAACATATATATACACACACACACACACACACACACACACACACACACACATATATATATTTGAGAGGTTTTTGCTATAGGGCGCATGTGCTCGCCAGACAGACAGACAGAGAGACATAGAGACAGAAAGCGAGAAATCACCCCCTGGGGGGATGGCCACACCACAATCCCTTCTCCTCCATTCTCCTCTTGGGATCTTGGGCACGCACGCACACGCGCCCCGCGTGAGTTTTAAGCCACTGGGTCCAGGATGCGAACAGTGGTCGACTACGTGGGAGTCCAGTGACATAGCCATTACGCTAACCGCTGGTCCCAAAGCAACTTATATTTTAAAAGAAATGATTTTACTTCAAATGTTAGGACTTCCAGACTCCAGAAATTCTCTCCATTTCTTACCATCAATTCACTCTCCCAACAGAGAGATACGAGGTCCACAGAGCCTCCTTGCCAGTCCTTGAACTGCCCTAACCTGGAAGTGCCCATTCAGCCTCCTTCGGGGCCAGGGAGAGTGCTTGCCCTTTCTCTTCCAGGGCGTCCTGGGGAGCCTCCTTGACACAGCACTCTCTCCTCTACCAACAGGACCTAAGGCTGTGAATTGTTCAGTTTTACCCATCAGTAAATTCAACTTTCTAGATTTAAAGACCTCACTAATAATTTTAACCTCTAATTTTGCCTAACGAAGTCACTTAGTTGCTTTGAGGCAATGGAAGAAAAAAAGGCAAACCAAACCAAGACCTATAACGCTAGGGCTGCAGCCCGAACTAGCCAGACTGACCTTTGTACTCAGGGGTGAACTCCTTCATTTCCGGAGGGAGGGACTCGTAGAAGCGCTGCTCCCGGGAGATGAGGGGCTTGCACACAGTGTGGTCATCATAGCGCATCATGCTGCTGTGGCCGCCCACCTGGTGGATGAAGGGCTCGAGGAGAACTCCCCGGTCTCCGGGCCGACCTGCATTCTTGCCGTACTGCCCCACTTCCATGGTTTGACAAACACACATTGCGTTGGGGCCAGCTGCACACTGAGGGCAGAGGCTGCGGCACATGGGCCACAAAGCAGAGCTAGTGGGTCCTGGCTAGCCAGAGCCGGCAGGCTGCGTCCGCTCCACTTATTATTATGTCCTGCAGAAAAGAAAAGGGGAAGAGGAAATCAGAACTTCCAGCAAGCTGCGTTTCCTTGGAGCCATGCTGAGTGGGAGCAGGGACTGTTCTGCTCTCTGCTGCGTGTGTCCCCAGCACGTGCAACATGCCTAGTGCAATGAGAAGCAGTTGGTCAGTTTGGGTCAAATGATGCAACTCTGAGGTACCCATTGGGGCAACGGACACGTATCGGTACTGCCCACTGGCTCCCCTGGCCCCAGACAGACTCTGCTCAGCCTTGGCGTTACCTCTGACCAGGTATCGGGGGGTGCTACACCTGCTAGCCTGGCTCACTGGTTGGCTGGGTAAAGGAGACAGCAGTGCCAGGTGCTCCTCCATCCATGTCTTTTTCCATCCATCCCACAGAAACTTGCACTGTCTTCCTTTTCGAGTTCTTACCCCCCACCTTTTTCATAAGAGGTTTTTGCCTGAGGGCACGTGCACTCGAGAGACAGAGACAATGAGAGAGAGAGTGAGAAACTCCCCAGGGGGATGATCATGCCACAATCCCCTTTCCTCCATTCTCCTCCTGGGATCTTGGGCACGCACACGTGCTTAGTATGAGTTTCAAGCCACCAGGTCCAAGACTTGAACTACGGTCACCTTCTCTACTCACACTCCCACTCCTTTTTCGGCTAGTTAATTCCCTTTCTAGTCCTTCTTCAGGACCAGGGAGTTTCCCTGACTGTTCTCACCAAACCCAAGCTCAGTGCACACTTGTCAGTTCTTACCCTGCGGCAACACACCACTGTGCTATCACCACACCATGTGCTCACACAGCAGGTGCTCAGAGGATGTGCCGGAATGAAGTTCGCAATTCCGGGCAGTATACAGAGAGTAACTTGACCAGAGAGAGAAGGAAAGTGAGAAAATAAGCCACTGTGTCCGGGACTCAAACCGTGGTCAGCCACGTGGGAGTGTCCAGTGCCTTAACCACCATGCCACCTACTGGTCCCCAGCTCCTGGAAATGTTTTTTGATCCTTTATGCACCTGCTATTTTTCATTCTGCTGTTTCTTTCTCTTTTTTTTTTTAAGAATTAATTTATGTATGTATGTATGTATGTAAGTAATCAAATGTATGTATGTAATCAACCAACCAATCAACCAACCAGAGAGGAACAGAGTAAGAGAGCAAGAGTGTAAGAGAGGGAAAGTGAGAACGCAAGCCTCCAGGTTCGAGACTCAAACCACAGTCAGCCATGTGGGAGTCCAGTGCCCTTAACCACCACACCACTTGCCGGTTCCTTCTGTTTCTTAGTAAGACCCGTTATCTACTCTTCTCATCAGGCAGTGAGGACTCATTATGCAATTTACACCTGTTTTGGACAAGAGCTATCCTGGTAGACAGAATCCTCCCTTCCTGTAGAATTTCTAAGGCATGTAAATACCATTATAGAAGGTCAACAGGAATGGAAAGGAATCGAATAGTTTAAAACCATGCCAAAAGACCAGAAAGGGGTCGGGGGAGAAACTGCTGTCCCATCTCTAAGCCATTACTAAGCTGGACAGAAACAAATAGCAAAAGGTGAACTACGCTGGGACTGGCCCCCTGGTCTAGCAGTTAAAGAGAGCTGGCTCCCACATGGCAGACCATGTGTTTCAAATCCCAGACCTGATAGCTTGAAAAACTTTCTGAACATGCTGTACACGTGAGCCCAAAGTCCCAGGGGAGGGAGAGAGGAAGGAGAAGGTACTGCTGCATGGTCATGCCCCGTGGAGGGTGCTTTCTCCCTCTCCTTGTCTCTCTCTGGCAAGCTCAAGTGCCCTATGGCAAATTTTTTCTAAAAAGATTTTTAAAAAACCAAGTTGTTTGGGATCAGCAATTAGCATAGTGGCTATGTCGCTGAACTCCTATGTAGTCGACCGCGGTTCAAGTCCCGGACCCAGCAGCTTAAAACTCACACCGGGCGCATGTGCATGCGAGCCCACGATCCCGAGAGAAGAACGGAGGAGAAGAGATTGCAGCATGACCATTCCCTCCTGGGGGGTGATTTCTCGTTTTCTGTCTGTGTTTCTGGCGAGCGCATGCGCCCTATAGCAAAAACAAACAAACAAACAAACAAAAATCTAAAAACAAACAAACAAACAAAAAAAACCCAAGTTGTTTAAATTTCCCCAAGTTTCTATAGAAGTATTTTATAAGGGCAGTATTTTCTTTCTTTCTTTCTTTCTTTTTTTTTTTTTTGAGAGGTTTTTGCTATAGGGCACATGCGCTCTTCAGAAGGACAGAGAGACAGAGATACAGAAAGCGAGAAATCACCCCCCCAGGGAGGATGGCCACGCGCAATCCCTTCTCCTCCTGGCCCCGATAAGGGCAGTATCTTCAGACCCTCTGGCCAGAGTTTGTGTGTCCAATGAGCCCACAGTGAGCAGGCTCAGCCTGGCAGCAGTCCAATCACAGAGGCCCTGTTGAGTAAGAACGGGGTGGCTAACGCTCCGCCACATGCTAGAGAACCTCTCCCGCAGAAGGGCACTAGTTGAAGCACCTGAAGGAAAGGGAAGCCCAGGCTTATCCTCTGTCCCACGCCAGGACTTACTGCAGCATGGAAGTCTCCCGAAGATCCCACTCACTACACTCATGAATTGACTGCATCTCCCAGCGACCCTGGAGGCTGCTACTCCTGACCAGGACCGGGGTGGTCCATAGCTTTCCCACAATACCAGTGTCTTCAGCACCTTCAATCTCATCACGACTCTCTACGCCGTTCGGTTCCCCATGTCACCGAGGATCAGTCACCAGTGTTCGGACCATGCTGTGAAACCCATTCACCAGCAGTAATGTCCTAGGCATGACGACAGTCATCTTGGACATCTTGCACAAGACCAAGCAAGATACAAACCAGCAAGCCAGGAACTGCCTTCTCCTCATCATGACCTGAGCAATAACAAGCAGTATCAAGACCAGCTCCATGGCTTGGTGGTTAAGACAGCTGGATCCAACACGGCAGACCATGCAGTTTGAGTCCCGGCCACAGTGGCTTAAAAAACACACTGGGGATATGTGTTATGTGAGGCATGGAGAAGGGACTGTGGGGTAACTCTCCCTATGGGGAGGGTTCTTTCTCTTCCTCTCTCTGGCAAGTCCACAGGTACACACTGGAGAAACCCCAAAACAGCATCATTCTCTCAGCACAGAGACTACCGGTATCTCCAAAGCAAGATCTTAACAGATCTCTTTCAGTATATTCAGCAGAGCTAGCCAAACCTGCACAGCACGAGTCATGATGATGCAGTCTGAAGGACAGAGAGACCGTCTTGTCCTTTCCCTTCCACCCCTAAGCAGGACCTGAAACTTCTGATGTTATCAGTGAATGTAATGTCAGCTTAAGGGTGACTACTCGGGACCAGAGGGTGGCGTGGTGGTTGAAGCACTGGACACCCCACATGACCGACCACAGTTCAAGTCCTGGACCTGGTGGCTTGCTTTCTTACTTTCTCTCTCACTCGCTCGCTCTCTCAGTGTGTGTGTGTGTGTGTGTGTGTGTGTGTGTGGTCAAATTAAAATAAATGAATGAATAAATAAAAAATAAAAATAAAAAAAAACAAGAATGACTACTCCTCCAAGGATCACAGGGTCCCACTGCTCTACAAATTTATCCACCTTCACCTACAGTGGAGTCTTTGTCCTTTATTTGCTTTAAAATACTTGGGTTCCATCTTTAAAGGTACTTACTAAATAAAACAGGAAGGAAGCCATTTATGAAAAGAACTTGCTGAAATTCTAAAGCTGAATTTTTCTCACTGATGAATGGCACCAGATGGAAATAAGTGTGCACGCAGAGATACCAGTACAGTAAGCAGCCCGAGTCTGCTTTCAGTAATCCCTGAACATACTCCAAAGTAAAATGAAGTTTCTGACACTGCTAGCATTCATATACAAACTTGTTTTCCAAGGCAAGAGCTATTGGTGAGCTAGAACAACTATCAGGTTTTATTATGGTTTATAAATGATAAAAATGGAATATTTAGTTCTGTAAAAAAAAAAAAAAAAGACAACTAAAAATACTTGATATTCATAAATAGAATATCAAATAGAAACAAACAAGACTAATTACTGCCACAACACAGAAAAATCTCATAAAATAGCAAGAAAGAATCTTGCTAAAAAGAAAGAAGTCATGTGGTGTAATTCTATTTTCATAAAATTCAAAAATGATGACAACCACAATAGCAGTAATTCTGGGAAAATACCGACTGAGAAAGGGCAAAAAGTGGAGGTGACATGGGTGAGAACTATATTCACTGAGCTGCACACTTGAACTTGCGCATGTTAGCACTGAATAACAAGAAAAGAAGCCGGGCTAACTAGGTGGCATGGAAGCTAAGGCGGCTGGATCCCACAAGGTCGACTGCATGGATCAAGTCCTGAACCTGGCAGCCTGAAAAGCATGCCAGCCACGTGTGCGTGCATTCCCAAAAATCCTGAGGGGAGAGTAGAGAAGGGACTGCAGTGTGGCCATTCTGCCTAGGGGTTGATTTCTCACTCTCCCTCACTCCTCACTCCGTCTCTCTCCAGTGAGCACACGTGCCCTACGGCAAAAACAAGAAAGGAACAAAGGAAATTAGTTCTAAAGAAAGGTGGAAAAAATGAATTTGTCTCTTTATGAAATGACAACAATTAAAACAGTGATTATTTCACAAAGGTGGAAAACCAGAATAGACATTCTGTCTTAGATGCAGACACATGCTAACACGGGAGTAGAGTGTGAGTGTGACTGAGGTGGCATTTAAATCTCCATTTAGTCAGTTGGGAAGATGATCTATGCCATAAATACAGCTAGAATAATAATCGGTATACGGATAAAATTACATCACTACCTCCAACAATACTCCAAAAATCAATTCTCACCACACTAAGAATCTAAATGCGCAAAACAAAATTTCTAGGGAATTAGAAAAAATGTAAATGCCTCTTGACAAAACATTAGGAAATACTCTGTAAATGAGACATAGAACACCCAGCCACAAGGAAAGCACTGGA